TGAAAAGTTATATTTTATGTTTTTCGAAGTCCTGATTCCGATTCCGTAATCTGTTTAGTCAGATTCAAACTCGAAAGCCTCCAAATTGATAGTCAAACCCGAAAAATGCATATATTGGGTAGGCCCCGTGGCCCCGAAATCTATCTTGGGTAGGCTCTCAGGCCCTAAGATGTTCCCTCAGGGTAACTCTTTTATGGGATTTACTGCAGTATGATTTTATGAGATTTACTGGACTCTGACTTGTTTAGTGTACCTATCATAATTTTATAGTAATGTTGGGACACACTGAGCCTAGCTCACTTTTTCGTAAATGTTTTCCCCTTTCACATATTGTTGGGTAGATACCCCGGATCGAGCACTTGGAGGATCAACATATCTCTTGAAGTATATCTGATTGTAATATTTTTATCTTTTAAGTTGACTTTATTTTGGTGACATGGACCTTATTTTAAAGTATTGGATTTTATAATGATTACTCTTTTGCTATTAATATTCAGTTTATCATGATTTTGATTTTTAAGACATGTTTTAAATTAATTTATTACTTTTTGATTTTATATTTATGAGTTGAGTTTTATAGTATAATTTATTATAATTTCATAAATGTCATTTATAATGTGATTTTACATTGATTGAATAATGGTTTCAGAAAATGTCTTTAAGAATCATGAATGTGATCCACTAGACTTAGTCAAAATGCATAGGTCGGGTCTATGGGTTTATATTTAATTGGTATCAGAGCTTTTGGTTTTAAACCTCGGACTGTGTATGAGTCCAAATTGAAAATATGGTTTTGAAATATTTTACAAAACAAGTTACTAAGGCCATGTCACAAAGTTTTTACGATTTTAACTGTGTTCGAGACTCCAAGTGCTTATCTAACCCTAAGTTTTATCTTCTATAGTAAACTCGAGATCCACCAAAATGAGTGCTAGACGTGGTCGTCGAACTAGCCGTGGACGAGGTCGAGTGGCTAGATTTTCAGATCTAATCGATGAGATACGAGTAGATCCCCCACCTCCGATAGGTGATCCTGCTCCTACGACCCCAACGAATGTGCCTCCTGCCGCTGGTATTGGCATGACTACACCGATCATAGGAGCGGCCGATATTGAGCCCGAGTATACCGGAGTTGCATTGGATGATAATTTTGGTAGATAGTTTCTGCAGTTGATACAGGGAGCAATCAGAGCTGCAGGTGTTGTATCCGAGGTTCCTATTTCGCAGACTTTGATTGCCAATGGAGTTAGAACTTTTAGGGGACAGATTGGTAGAGCTCCTACTGAAGCTGAGGATTGGCTCCAGGATACTGAGAGACGCATGGATCAGTTGGGTTTGGACCCAACTAAGAGATATTTAGGTGATGTAGCAATGTTAGATGGTAATGCTCACACCTGGTGGGAGTCAGTGACCAGTAGTGTTCCTACCGATCATTTGACCTGGGATTTCTTTAAGGAGCGCTTTCGGAGCCGTTTTCTGGGAGAGCATTATTTAGCTCAGAGACGACAGTAGTTTCAGGATCTGGTTTAGGGAGACATGACTGTTTCTGAGTATGAGATCGAGTTCTTGAAGTTTCTAAATTATGAATTCAGTATGGTACCTACCGAGAGAGATCGATGTCGTAGATTTACCCTTGGACTCAGATACAAGCTGCGTAGGCAAGTTGTGACCCATCAGGATGAGATATTTGATGTGCTGGTGGGCGGAACCAAGGATGCTGAGGAGGTGAAGGTTTTAGCTCCTGGTAGAGAGCGTGTCGATCAGAAGCGATCTTAGAAATTTTCAGGCCCTACTGAGTCATCTGCACAGTCCGGGAAGAAGACTCGTCCTTCGGCCCCTCAGAGGAGCAATACACGTTTCAGGCCTGCAGCATCTTCACCTTTAGCTATTAGTAGAGGTGGTTCTTTGGTTCCGCTTCAAGTTCCTCCTTGTGACTTTTGTGGTAAACGACACACAGGAGAGTGTTATAGGAAGACCGGAGCATGTTTTCATTGTGGGTCTAGTGGTCATTTTCGGAGGGATTGTCCTCAGCTAGCTTCGTCTGAGCGGACAGCTACCCAGACTCCTGTGCGTTCTCAGACTACAGTACAGACCCCAATTAGAGATCATAGTCAAGGAAAGACTCGAGGAAAAACATCCAGGGTGGACAGTAGAGCCCAACCTCAGCAGAACAGAGGGCCAACATTTTCTGAGGCTAGACAGTCAGTTTTGGTTTACGCCACTAGACGTCGGGATGACAGAGATGAGTCGGAGGTTATTGCATGTACATTTACTATTTATTCTATCACATACTTTGCATTACTGGACAATGGCTCCACCCACTCCTATGTATCGAGTTCAGTATCTCGAAATCTTCAGATTCAGATTGAGAACACTGATAATACTATTACGGTTACGAGTCCAGTGGGACATGCAGTATTAGTGAGTAAAGTATTTCGGTGTTGTCCTCTGGAGGTTCAGGGAGAAATTTTTCTCGCTGATCTTATGGAGCTTCCTTTAGAGGAGTTCGATCTAATTCTTGGAATGGATTGGTTGAATAAACACAAGGTAAATCTGGATTGTGAGTACAAGAGAGCTACTCTGTCTGATGGTCGGACTGTTGTGTTAATTGGTGAACGTCGCGGCTATCTCTCCAATATAATTTCAGCGATGGAAATTGATCGTATGATCCGGAAGGGATATGAGACTTTCATTGGTTGTATTTTGAACACTAAATGTTCCTTATCCATGATTGAGGAGATTCATACAGTTAGTAAGTTTCCTGATGTCTTTCCGGAGGAGTTGCCTGGGTTACCTCCTGATAGAGAGGTAGAATTCGAAATTGAGACTTATCTAGGATCTGCACCTATTTCCATAGCACCTTATCGCATGGCTCCAAATGAACTTAAGGAGTTGAAGGTCCAATTGCAATAATTATTCGATCAAGGATTTATTCTGCATAGTACCTCACCCTGGGGAGCTCCAGTTCTGTTCGTGAAAAAGAAGGATGGGTCGCTAAGGCTATGTATTGACTATCGGAAGTTGAACAAAATGATGATCAAGAATAAGTTATGAGTGTTTGCAAAAAATATATATTTTTATTAGAGCATGTGATTATTTCTTTTAATTATGCATGTGTATTTTTCATACTAGGGGTAATTTATGAGATGTTTGAAATTCATGAAGTATGATTTGTATCTTATTTAAAAGCATGCTTCATGAATTATGTATTAATGATACAATACAATTATGAAATGAATTATCTAAATATATGTAAATATGAATATTTTATGATAAATGTGAACATTTTGGTTATGCCACTTTAGTAATATTGAATTAAATTGTCTTACCTTAAAGGTTATACAAATAAGCTTGCTAGTCATCTCAACAATATAGACATAAAATGATTTATTTGATAATGTTAAACATGTTGCTTAATATTATGATCTAATTGATAAAATGATGTTATAAGATTATTCGGAAAAAGTGACCTCGTAAGTATATGGAACTTGGTAAGTTTAATTGGCTAGTCATAAGGTCTTGTACATTATTAAGTCAACTATGTGTGATGCTCCATGTTGCTTATTATTTGGAGCTATATTGTTTTCTCTTTGGAGTTATATTGGTCACTCGTATATTTACTATAATGCCCAACCCATATTCGCTCTTTGGGCTCATCAATGCATCGATAACATTCATAGATTTGATGAACCATGTCTTCCAACCTTAGTTGGATTGTTTTGTAGTAGTCTTTATGAATGACATTTTAGTATACTCGTATTTAGAGGATGATCATGATCATCATCTTTGCATTGTGCTTCAAATGCTTCAAGAGAGGAAGTTATTCACCAAGTTCAATAAGTGTTAGTTTTGGTTTTCAAATGTTGTTTTTTTGGGTCATGTGGTTACTAAAAATTTCATTCGAGTAGATTCATAGAAAATTCATGTAGTGGATGATTTGAAGCCATCAAAAAATATTTTTAAGCGTAGCTATCTTGGTCATACTAGTTTATTAATGGTTTGTTAAGGGGTTCTCTATGATCCCGACCTCTATAACCAGGATATTTTTTTTTTTGATAAGAATTTAGATTTATTAAAATCAAGAGTCTAATACCAACTTATGAGCCTCGTTAAAAATCTCCCTAGACTAAATGGAGGAAAAGAGTGCTACATAAGAGAACACTACAAACACAACCCATAAACGAAAACCAAGCATACAAAGATCACCAACACCTAATCAAAGGCAACTCGATAACAGAAAGTACTAACGACCAAAATAAGCACAAGCTGCAACCATCTAAGAAACTGCAACAACACCAACCAAAAAAACTTCCACGACACCATCCACGCGAACAATGACCGCAAAAGCGAAACATAGACAGCAGCAACGTTCCACAAGCTCCAAAGCAGACAACCAAAGAAGATAGACGATGAAAAGACCACAACCGGGCTAAGAACAAAAGGCTACCGAACTAAAAATTCCATCAAAATGAATGATAACATCATCCACAATGGGCTTACAAACTTTGATCAGCTCCCAACCACTTTGAGTGAAAACGACTTGCAAAGCTAAGGCCACCATTTACACTACCTCGGAAGTATCATATTTTTTAATAACCACATAAAAAATGAATGAAAGTGAAGTATGGAAAGACTATAAATGGGACCCAGAGTACTACCCATTTTGCCCAACCTCGGAAGCATCATGTTTTTTTTAAAAAACCACAACTAAACGATAAAACATATAATTAATGAGACTTTCCTTTATCGAAAAACCAACAGCAAACACTGCCTTCATAACGGTCTCAAAACCCTCCAATGTTGCGCACGACTCCCCCACAACGCCCACTTGCGCCCCACTAACCTCCTTCAAGAAATAATAAAGACCAGACAACTAACGCAATGTACAATGCAAGGTACCCCACTACACATTGCTTTGGATTTCAAAAATCCAACTGCCCAACGCTAAACAAATAAAAAAACCTGCGCAATACAATCTAAAACCGCCCTATAGACACGCACCTGATTCATCCACTACTAAGCAAAAACCGAAGAAACATCTCTGAGAGATACGAACTGTACAAGGTCCCAATATATTAAAATCTTTACTTTAAACGCCCACCATACCTCAATGTCTGGGTAGCAAAAACCAAAGCCCCTTTAAATAATAAGACCCTACTCTGTCGCCATTCAAGAATTGGACCGTTTGGACTACCAAAGCCGTTCAGAGAATATAATATAAGCCTTAAGATGCTCAACTCCAAGCCTCTACATGACAAATGGATCACGTGCACGACCACCCATACCCTTCCAATTGTCATTTCAAAGACAAAGGCCGATCAAAGAGACAGAACCTGATCCAATAAAATTAGAGATGGCTCGGCCACTAGCACAGACAAGCATGGGAAACAAAAACGCCCATCACGCACAACACCCACGAGCACTATACTATCAACCTTCGAAGCACTGCACGAACATCTCATTTCGAGGAACCTAAATGACTATCCATCTTAATTCTTAAACAAACTAGAAGCCCCGAGACCTAAACCCCCAATACACACCAAACAAATCACAAATATCTCCTAAAAATCAACATCAGGACCTCCAAAAACAAACTAACTACGCACGATCCTCAAAGACCAAATACAAACACCTAGCAAGCCCTACACCTCACTCAATCTCGTCAACTCAACTCTAGCGAAACCAAACTCAGGGACCTCACCAACCGAAAACCAAAAAAGAAAACTTAACACCTGCCCTACAACACCCTCTCTACCCTCAACACAAATCTAACTTCACTAACTCATCAAGAACCTTCCTATCAGGCTCAACAAAAGTTATACCCAGCATCTTTGCTACTGATAGAGTCTCCTCGGCTTCGGCATACGCAGCTTTCCACTTTTTCTTTAAATCGGAATCTGAGATAGATCTACCTGATAATTCAGTAGATTCTAGATCGGACTTCTTCAACTTGGAATTCTTCAGCGCTCGATCTCTTCGACTCCTCTCAGCTTTCGATAGAACTGAGTCCTGAATCTCCAACAAAGAACCAAATTTCTGCATCTTCTTTTTATTCCTAATAGACACTTCTGGAACACATGACACCTCTTCTAGAACTCCCCCAAAACTCTCATTTCCCGAAATCTTCGTTATGTTTGCATCGCCTAATTCCAAAGAGTTAACAGGACCCAAAACTAAACCATTACTCCTCCCCCCTGAATCCACCAGAAAACTTCTACGAGAATCTAATAAAAATCCATTCTTTAAACCCATCCTTAAAGGTGGCTCAATTTCTGGAGAAACAATTTCAGAAGCACCCACCAATACTCTATCCTCCAACTTTGAAGTCCCGTCAATAATAGGACTGACCACATTTGGCTCCACAACCAGATTCTCAACCCTATCGATATCCACTCCTTGCAACCCCACGAGATTACAATGATCTGAAATTTGAAGGCCAACACTCTGGCCACCTTCCTCAACACCACAATCGACCTCAATCGGCTTCCCCGAACTAGCCTTATTACGGCAGCAAAGACTATCCCCAGAGCAAGAGGGAGACCCTTCCTTACCATCAGAACTTCCCGACTCAGAAGCCACCGTCAGATCATCTTAACTAAAGATTATTCCGACATAGGTATCAATTTTGACTCAACTAGAGTTTTGAAAAGATTATCTGGTGTTCAACAAGGCATCCCTAAATAGTATCGGATATTTCATTATATAGGAAAGAAAAGTATTCACTTATGCATCGAGGAAACTTAAATTGTATGAGCGCAAATATCCTACCCATTATTATGAGCTAGCTGGAGTGATCTTTGCCTTAAAGATTTAGAGGCACTATCTCTTTGGGGAGAATTGGTACATGTACAATGACCACAAAAGTCAAATATTTACTAACTTAGAATGAGTTAAACTTGAGATTGTACATATGGATTGAGCTACTTAAGGATATAACTACATCATTGATTACTATCTAGGTAAAGTGAAATTAGTGGGTGACAGTTTTAGTCAAATATTAATGTCAGATTTACATGTGATGTTCATAGGACTGAGTATGACAAGAATGACGGGTTATTGCCCAAGATCCAAGTTGAACCTACATTAGTACGTGAGGTAAAAGAAGCACATAGATTAGATAACTATTTAGTATAACCAGATTAAATCATGTAAGGTGAAGAGAAGCATCATGCTTCAAATTGTATGATGATGATATGTTGTATTACATAGGTTAATTATTAATGCTCATATGATAAGTTGAGAGACATGATTCTTTGAGAGGCTCATAGCAATTTGTTTTCCAAATACTCTAGGAGTAATAAGATGTATCAGGAGCTATGTTAGTTGTATTGGTGGTCCAATATGAAGAGAGATGTATATAAATTTGTGTCTAAGCATTTGGCTTGTCATTAGGTCAAGATAGAGCATTGAATTCCTTCAAACTTACTACAATCTATCCAAATTTTATAATCAAAATGGGATATAGTTATTATATACTTTGTGATAAGGTTTCTAATAAATCGATTTAAGAATGATGTGATATATGAGATATTGGAGATCGATGAATATTGTGTATTTTTGTCTATGTGTATGGAATTCACCTTGGAGAAATTAGCTCAATTGTAAATAGAGGATATAATGAAGGTTCATGATATATCAAGCTCATTATGTTCAATAGAGATCCCTGGTTTTTTTTTTTTTGCTCAGCAAAGTACGATTTTATTTCATTATAACAGTAGAACGAAATTCAACTTATGAGCCTCATTAAAAACCTCCCTAAAATTGGAGGAAAAAAGTGCTACATAAGAGAACAGAAACAAGCACTACAGACCAAGACTAAAGCCAGAACACAACTCAAAACATTACACCATTACAACCAACAAAGCAATAAAATCTAAAACCAATCAAAACCAAACCATTCTGCCTCGACACCAACATCTCATGTAAAATCAACAAAAATATAGCCACTAGCACCATATCGAGGAACCAGATAAGGTGCTCGAAGAAGATTCGAGTTCTGCAACGAAACAGTGAAGAAAACCAGCAATTAACTAAAAGAAGAACCAATCCAATTGACCTCCACAACAAAGAACCAAATCTTTAAAGCCTCCATTGAAGAAAGCAATTCCAAACTATCTACTCCTGTTAGCATGAATTTATGAAATCAATGTAAAACCCAATCATCCAGCCCTATACTCGATCCTCGCTTAAAATTGCATTGAATAAAAAAACACTGCTCAGTGAACCTATACCATGATTGACTCCCCTTAAGCAGCCCAAAATGATCAAACATTGGCCTCCACCAAGCCTCCTACAATACTACAAATATCCCTCCAACCAAACAAGAATTTCTTGAAATCCAAATGCTTCAGCGACTCTAGTCCCTCCACAATCCGACTTTCTTAAGAACATGGTACTAACTTTCGATGCAAAGATCAACCTATCAAAGTACTCCACCTTAGTCACCACAGCGTTCAAAATTACGCACTCATCATCATACCACCAACATCCAACAAACTTCTCGACAGAAGCAGCCTTATTTATCAAGAACACACAACAAGATAGACTAAAAAATAATCAATCAACTCAAATCCTTTCACTAAGAGCCTTTTTACTTATCTCCTCCATTTCCTCTAAAAAAACCACAAGCTATCCACAAAAGCCAAAACGCTTAGAAACTCTGCATCCCCTTACACTCACACTCCAACCTCAACACAGTTCTAATGAAGGCATCATCACAACAGAAGCCCGCTATATCCGATTCAGAAAAACCCTTTTTTCGTTTCTTGAAACAACACCATCTCACACTTGTACATCCTAACAAACCTCCTCAGTTCATAAATTTAAACATATGAGCCCATCCCTCGTATATACCCAGAAAAAATCCTCATCACAAAACATGTTTCCTCTGGACACTACTAGAATTCAATAGATAGGGAAGTTGACTCACCTTCCAATTCATCCATTGCGACAATTTCCCGAACCAAAAGCCTCTTCTGAACTTTAAACACAATGCCCAGTTCTTCTCCAATCTGAAGAGTTTCTTTGACTTTCTTCCTTTTTCTCTGCCACCTTGCTTGTAAATCAGATTCAGAAAGGAGAGATCCCTGGTTTACTTTGAGATTTTGGAGGAAATTTCATGAGGATTGGGTTCTCATTTTTAGCCTTGATAATTAAGTTAATTATGATGCATATATTCATGTCTCTATGATTATGTTTGATCTGCATCATCATCGAGAGATCTCTAACACCTCCTATTCAAAGTACATTATTTGACTTATTTAGTGAGTATATATATTCATATGATATTGCTAGTAATTCAGTATGTAACTTTATTATTATTATTTTAATTTAGACTGTGTCATATTTTGAGCTCTAGTTTTTGTTTTAAATACTTTTACTCTATTATGCTTTGATTATATTTAATATGAATATTTCAAAAGTATTGGACACATTTGACTCAATTTTAGAAAATTTAAAATTTTAAGGTCGTTTCGATGACCCAATGTGGTATCTTAGGCCCTTCACATATTATAGGTTGAGTTTAAGTTATTACAAAGATTAAATTTATTAAATTGTTTCGAATTATGACCAAATAAATAGAATGTATAAATTTTAAATATTAAAATTATTATTATATCAGATCAGATCATTATTTTATCTAATATTTAACTACTAATAAATATTTATAGTAAAATTTTGATTGAGAGATAAATTATAACTTTTTAAAAATGTCTTGTGAATAATCCAACTATAATTGAATTAGCAGGGTGTATTTTACCCTATACTAAAATCTAGTTTAACGTAGGAGGAGGGATCCTTGTCTATATATAACACTAGCTTAGTTTCTCAAACACCAATTTCTCGCTCTTTTGCTGTGCTACGGTTTCAGTTTCAGGTTTTCAAGTGACAAATGGCAAAGCTTATTTTGATTCTCTTTTATTTGCTTTAATCTCAACCCTAAGTATCTCAAATAGAGTCAAACTCATAAACATTGCTCCACCTCCTTTTCTCTCAGATTTTCCTTGAAAAAAAATCTGGGTTCTTGTCAAATATTTCTATCTTGTTTTCTCTTTTAAGAGTTGTTGAGGATTATGGAGCATGGGGAGTTGGTTTCTGATGAGGGTACGATGGAATCTGCAGCTTTGGTGAATGGTTCTTCTCAAAACTTTGATGTAAGCCGGGTACAAATCTCCACAGATTTTCCTTTATTTTCCTTTTCATCTTTTACATTTTGACCTGGCTTAAAACTTGTAGGTTAACTTGGTTGAAGCTATGAGGAAATCACCAGTTCTTGGCTTAAAACTTTCACAAACATCCTCTTTCTTAGAAAAGGTAGATCAACTATTCTTACAGAAAGGGTATAGCTTCAATGGAGAAGAACAAGCCAGCAACAGCTCTAGTGATGGGAAGCCGAGGGAGCATGCTTTGCAACACGCAAATAAGCTGAAAGCTGAGAATTTCCTCATTTCTCTACTTAGAATTGGCTCATGGCAGGTGCGTACCAACTGATAATACTTCTTTTGCTACATGAATCTTTTTAGAAAACCAAATCTTTGTTGCAGAGGGTGTCGAGAAATGATGATGACTTGGTAGGCAAATGCTATTTTTCTAAAAAGAAGTTGATGTGAGAATTTTTAGAGAATGGGTTGAAAAGCAAGATCGAAATCCAATTATCTGATATTCTGTCGTTGAAGGCTGTCACCCATGAAGATCAACCTGGAATTCTTGAATTGGAGGTAATTATTATATTCTAATTTCTACTTTATCCATTGTGTATATAGTATTGAACTGATTATGATCCAAGTTTCTTTGTGTAGTTAACCGAGCCTCCTGCATTTTACCATGAGATCGACCCACAACCAAGGAAGCACACACAATGGAGAATGGTTTCGGACTTCACCGGTGGACAAGCTCCTACTTACAGGTAATTTTGTGTTCAATCAGGTTTCCATTTGCTGTCATTTTACTTAATCAGACAGGAATAATACATGAAATGCATTGAAAATGAATTGGAGGCACTATCTTGAATTTCCTCCGGGAGCCCTCGACAAGCCCCTCGAGAAGCTCTTGGGTTTTGACCATCGGTTGCGTATGTTGAGCCAACAAGGCTTCCCATTTCTCGATTCTCCATACTTTCCAAGACGTTCATTTGGTGGTTTCTCTTTGGGTTTCTGTGGACAATTGCACATCACTCAACAACAACAGCAACTTTCATTTCCAAATGTCCCAACACAAGCAAACCAGCCTGCACCACTCAATTCGTCCATATCAGGTATGAATGTTGCAGATAATTCAATTCCAAACCAAATTAGAAGAACTTTGATTCCATCCAGTGGTCCTTCGAGTATGCAACAAGATCAAATTGGACGACTAGTCCCTATGCAGCTACCATCAAATGATCATCATCAAAGCATGCCATTGAACAATTCACCAACTGGGTTTCAAACAGCATGACCAATGACAATATTGCGAGTCCAAATGTGGTTCAAAATAGTGTGTTGATGAACAATGCTTCGTCGAACAATGATGTTGGTGGGAGGCAAATGTATCGTCAAGTTATGAATTGGTTGCTCGGCAGTAGTTCATTCTCTTCGTCGGTTATTACTGATGACTGATTTAAGTTTTAGGTAGTGGAAGTAAAGATGCAGAATTTGTTTAGTTTGAACTTGGAGAACAAAGTAGCTAAACTTAGTCTCTTAAGAAAAAATAATAGTTTCTAAAATTATCAACTTTTTAATATAATTTTATAAGTTTGCACATTTTGATATAAGTCCTTGTATTATGGAAGTAATGATGTTGTTTTAACCTCGAGATTGTCTTCAGACTCTTTAGAGGGTCTTGATAATGCCTCGACAAAGAGCATTAACCATGGGTCTTTTCATACGTAGCATGGCTTACCTTGAGTGTCGAGTCATTGGGTGTGGTTCATCCCAATTGATTTTGATGGAGAGTCACAATGACTCAATTGAAGGATTTGAAGACTTGGAGGGTCGACTTGGTGAAATGGAAAACTTAGGACGACCAATGACAAAATTAGAGGGATACGATTAATTGAAGAAGCAATGCCACGAAGGGGGGATCAAACCAGTGCCTATGCAATTTCTCCACAATATCACCAATGGGTCCTCCAATCTCACCAGTCTCATCAATTTGGTCCATCAAGTTTCCAAATCCTTTAATTTGGTTCTCATGCTCTCTATCCAAATCAATCGGGATGAACCGCACACAACAACTCGATAGATGTGATAGCCGGAGTAAACTAGACACGATTTACGAACCATGTTCTTTTTAGTCAAAGTGTTTATAAAACTCTCTTAAGGGACAAGAGATAGAATTCTAAGGCTAAAATGGCAATAGACACAAAAAAGATATACATTTATGGTTGTTGAATGTTAATGATGAATAACCAAAATAAAATATAAGAAATCATATTTATGGCTGTATTTAGGTAAAATTGGGCCAATAATTCAAGAGGATTAATTATTTGGCCCAATAGATTAATTCAAAAATTATTTTGGGACCTATGATAAATACTGCATGGTAAATTTGTCACGTCCACGTGACAAATTTATTCGAAAATTATTAAATGGGTTCAAGTCTGTAGGTCCCATAGAATCTAATAATTTATTATTTTCTTTGAAACTTGTCATTTTCATGTGACAAGTTCTTTTAAAATAATGTATTTTTTTCAATTTAAATAATATTTTTAACTATAAATTTTAATTTTTTTTAAATTCATGGAATTTATCATGTCGGCGTAATAAATTCCTTTTGAATTTGAATTAACTAGTCATTATATAAACGTTGGGCAACGGGCAGAATCACAACAGTCATACTCATCATGTAGGTGTGATGAGTTCCATGAGATTTTTAAATTTACTAATCGTTTATGGTCGTTGGGTTTAGGACTATAAATCATGTTTTGGAGTTTAAGGTTTGTATTGTGATTTGTTAAGAAGAAAAACAGTTGATTAAGAGAGAAAAAATAATTTTTGGAAGAATTTGTGTTAAACTATCTATTCGAGAACAAATGTTATTTCTTGATTACACCTATATTTCCTCTCTTGAACTCATTGCGGTAAAAAAATCTTATATTTTTAAAAGCTCAAATTATAAATATTATTTTTTTTGTTTTGAAAATTTTATTAATTGTTTGAAATTTATATTGTATGAAGAAAGATGGGGCATTCGTCATCGAAGAATGAAAACTGACGATCTACATCTACTGACTATTATTTATCTACAACAATCCAGATTGTATCATTTTATTAATTGAACGTTGGAGGCACGAAACTCATACGTGTCATTTTCCTAGCTGTGAAGTGGCGATTACTTTAGAAGATGTGGCTTACCAACTCGGTGTTATGATAAATGGTGCATCATTGGTGAGACACAATAATTTCAATCGAGACAAGATTCGCGAGCAAGAATTGGGAAAAGTACCACCAGTAGATGTCACATATGAGTTATGGATACCAATGACTTGGTTGGAGAATGAATTTAAAGTGGATGCACGTTCTACCGAGGAAGAGGTCGTATTTTCAGCTCGAGCATATATTCTCCAATTGATTGGAGAGATATCGGTACAGGATAAATCCAGAAATTCAGTGCACACTCAGTATCTTCAGATATTGGATAATTTGAATGAGTGTCATCAATATAGTTAGATTTCAACGATTTTGACTTTTTTATACCGTAAACTTTGTAAGGCTACAATCGTGACAATGGGTCAAAAAGCAGATGTAACGGTTGTCTAGTCTTACTATAATCTTGAACATGGTACCACATTTCGTTTTTTGCACTAATTACAACAACTCCGGTTGAGTTTCCTCTCGATGCAAGGTAATTTTTTAAATTTATATTTTAGTAAATTTATATTATTAATTAATATATTTAGAAATTATGAATTAATAATGTAGTTGCTAATTTGTATTTATTATGTTGTTTAGATGTTATAATATAA